CTGCACTTCTCTCCCTGCCCAGCCCTCCCCTGCCCGACCCAGTTCGCTCCTCTCTTTCAAAAGTAAAAGAAACACTCCCTCCCTGGGACACAATCCCCCCACACCCCTCCCACCACTCCAAGTACATTCCACTATGCAACCTTAATTATGGACTCTTGTGATAACCATAATACCCTATCATACATCGCTTTTAAATTACTCACTCCCTCATCTCTTTCATACAGTATACACAATTTATCCGGTTTTTCTCAGTCTTACCCCAACCTTGATATCAGTCCCATTTTACAACAGTGGCACCATGCAATATTTGTCCTTTTGCAACTGGTATATTTCACTCAGCATAATGTCCTCCAGGGTCACCCATTTTGAATAATATTGCATGAGTTCCTTGTTTTTCAATGCAGCATAGTATTCCATTGTGTGAATACACCACAGCTTCTCTATCCATTCGTTTGTTGATGGGCACCTGGGTTGTTTCCAACTCCTTGCTGTTGATAAGAAGCTGTGTACCTTATCCCTCACTGTGACATAGATTATGGAATATAGAAAAATAATATATCTGTGGTAAATATTAATCATCAAAGGATTGTTTTCATTTGGTAAAAATGTTTCACATTCTGTGATTATGATTGTTCTGCAAATTGGTTCAGTTATAAATGTCTCTTTGATTTTGTAGATATTTTCTTTTCCAATCTGAAATGATGGTTGTTTAATTGAAGAAAATAATTTGCACATAAAAAATCAGATGTACTTCATAGCTAATGCATGAAAAGGATGCTTGTCCTAAAATATCATAGGAATTTAATCTCCAAATTGTATTTTTAAGCTCCTTCTTTCTTCTTTTTGCCGCCAATTTAGTCTAACTACAATCATGTCTTGACCACAACAGTATTTTCCTAACAAGGTCTTTAATATTTTTAAGTCATTCTACACACAATAGTGAAAACAAAAAACAAACAAACAAAAAAACACACAGAAAAAAAACACCAAACCCACAAAAATTAAAAAAAAAACCTGACAACCGAAAAACAAAAAACAAAAAAACTTTCAGAAATTCAAATTGAATCTCATTATACACACTCATGTCCCAGTAAAAGTTCTACACTGAACAATGTGCTTCAATCTTGTCCCTCCAGGTTTTTCCTACTTCATTAACTTCACATCATCTCCCACAGCTCACCCTTACACTTGATAATAGCCTAAAATTGTGGTTTATTGGGTTCTGTGTTTGTTTTTGTTTTTGTGTTGGTTGTTGTTTTGTTTTTTTTTGGTTGGTTGGTTGGTTGGTGGTGGTTGTTGCTCGCAGAACAAAACTCTACCTCGTTCCTGCCTTACACCTCTGGACATGCACGTTCCAGAGCCTGAAATGACCTAGCATTATATCTTTTTATCTGCCTCTTACCTGCCAAATTAATATTTCTGTGAGGACTACTCTAAAATCTACTTCAATATTCTCCAGAGAAATAATAAAGAGTATAAATTTTGTATTTATTTGTTTTATATATATCCTCCCACTGAATGAAAGAAATGTAGATTCCAAACACAAAAAAGAAACAGATTTATAGCAGGTGTTCAATAGACATATTTGGTTAAATAAATGAACAAATTAACCAACAAATAAATAAACACTGAAAAGTTATTCAAGCCACTCATTGTGGTCTCTTTAAAATGGGTCCATTACTTGTTATAATTAATGTGTCTGAATGTCAAATCACTTTTATAAAAACTACTTGGAAAGCAGATAGAGAAGAATGATTAAACTAATTAAAAATTTACTAAATGAGTATATCTTGAACAAAAACAAGGTAACACACCTGGCAATAAAAAAGACTCCATCATTTTCTGTGATTTGTATATTAGCAATAAATTAACTTTTATGAATTCCATTATTGTGAACATTTCTTGTATTACTGAGAAATTTTACTAACACATATTTGACTAAAACAAAAGTTTATTTATCTCCTGGGTTTTCAGTTCTTTCAGTTTAACAATTTCTCTACTTTCATATCTCCTCTTTTTGCTTAGTCTTCTAGTTAAAAGATGATAGAAATTTTAAAGTTCCATTTAAAATACATTAAAATACATTTTAAAGTTCCATTTTAAAATACATTTTTAAAATTATTAGTAATTTCAATGAACATTTACAGAGATTTTGGATTTCCATTCATTCATTGTTGTATTTTTCTACCGGCCCCCCTCTCCCCTGCCCAGTACTCTCTTTGAAAAGTAAAATTCGTTCATTGGTACACAATCTTCCCCCACACCTCTCCACCCCCACCCCGAGTATACTCCACTCTGCAACCTTCATTCCGGACTCTTAGGATAATCATAATGCCCTATAATATATTCCTTTAAAATACATTTTAAAGGTCCCTTTTAATACAACTTTTAAAGTATCATCAAGTCAGAATCCACCTGCTGCTGACCATTTCTCAGGTTTTCAGAAACAGTAAATCCCATAAGAAGAGACTGCCTATCCGTCTTCCATGGAGCAGTTGGTGGATTTGAATCATATGCTTTTGACCTTGCAGCACAGCTTCTTACCACTAGGCTATCAGAGCTTCCTAATTTTAAAGTATGTTGTTGTTGTTATGTGCCATCGAGTCGCTTGCGACTCATAGCGACCCTATGTAAAACAGCCCTAAACTCTGCTCTGTCCTGTGCCAATCACACTGTCTCTGACACTCCTATCCTGATTATCCCAGTCACTGAATCAATCCACCTCATAGAGGGCCTTCCTCTCCTGCGCTGTCCCCTCCACCCTCCCAAGCATGATGTCCTTCTCCAAGGACCAGTCTCTCCTCACAACATGTCCAAAGTATGTCGGACGGAGCCTCAGAATCCTTGCCTCCAAGGAGCCACCCGGTTTAACCCTTTCCAGGACGAATCTGTTCTCCTAGCAATCCATGGTATTCTCAATACTCTTCTCCAGCACCACAGCTCAAAGGCATCAATTCTCCTTCTATCCTCCTTGGTCATTCTCCAACTCTCTGATGCATAACAAGTGATTTTGAAGACCATGGCCTGTTATCAAACGGACCTTAGTCTCCAGAGAGACACCATTGCTCTTCAGTACTTTGGAGAGGTCCCTAACAGCAGACTAGGAAGAAGGATTGGCCATTCACTTCTGAAATAGCAGGCCTCTGAAAATCCTATGTACAACAGAACATTTTAAAGTACAGACTATAATTTATAAATATTACTTCAAGCATTACCCTTTCCTTCAGCCTTCATCAGAGGCACATTTGGTCTTCATTCCCTCCTTCACTCACCCATTTAATTCAAATTTTCACAACTAAAGTTTACTTGGATCCATAGTCACAATCCATGAAAGCAGAAGTCAAGAAGTCAAATGACATATTGCATTTGGTAAATCTGCTGCAAAACCCTAAACCAAACCCAAGCCCACTGCCGGAGAGTAGATTCCAACTCACAGTGACCTTTACTGGGTCTGTGAGGCTACAAATCATTGTAAGTGGAAACTGTCCAATTTTCTCCCGTGGAGGGGTTGGTTGATTCAAAAAGCACAGATCTTTGGATTAGTAACTCAGTGTATTACACACTATATCACCAGGGCTCAGCCAAGATCTTTTTAAATTATTTAAAGCAAAATTTTCACTTTGAGCATTTTCATAGGCCTGGCCCAAGCCATGGTTATTTTCAGTAATCTAATATGGATGTGAACGCTGGACAGCAAATAAGGAAGACCCAGTAACAATCGATGCCTTTGATTTAGGATGTTGGTGAAGAATGTTGTCTTTACCATGGAAGGCCAGAAAAATAAATGAATCTGTCTTGGAATAAGTATAACCCAAATGTTCATAAGAATGGCCAGATATCATCTGACATAGCTGTATATATTACTAGGAAGGTCTAATCCTGGTAAAAGGACAGTGGGCGTGGTAAAACTGATGATCGGGAAAAAGGAGGGAGACGGATTGACAGAGTAATTACAACAGTGACCTAAAACATAGCGACATTTGTGGGGATGGCACAAGAGTGAGCAGAATCCTTTTCTACTGTACAAATTATTATGCTTTAAACCCAACTTGGTGGCATTTAGCAACAAAAGATTGAAAAATACAATTTTTCTCCCTTATTAACATCTCACATAATTCTTCAAGTTGATTATCTAGTTTATCTTCTACAGTTTTATTGTACTAAAAATGAGATCTGCTTTCACATTATGTCTTAAAGCATATGAAGCATATGTTTTATATATTGTCCCCTAAATTAGAAGATGAAGCCATACTGGCCCAGTCAGTAGAGAGTTTTATTAGTCTATGACTATCACCTCCTGAATGCATCTGATCTGGTCCAATCTCAGAAACTCAACAGCGCTGGGCCCAGTTAGTACTTAGATGGGAGGTGTGCTTCTAAGCCGAAGGTAACACATTTCTGGCAGTTCAAATCTACTCGCAGCTTCATAAGAGAAAGATGGATAATCTCCCCATGTAAATCACAGCTTTAAAACCAGCTGGAGCATCATGTATGAGTTGTTTCTGACTCACATGCAATGAGAGAGAGAGGCCTAAGAAGACAGACAAGGCTTATGCTTTAAATGTATAAATTCATGGCATAAAATATGTTCATTTGCATTAGATTTAGCTTTCTCAATAGGTAGAGTTAACTTGCTACCTGCTAATAGTCAAAGAATAACAACAAAGAAGGATTATTAACAGAGTAAATGGCTACTTGTTGCTGAGATTGGCTTCTCTCACAATAAGAAAAAAAAATAGAAATGTGAGCGGGTGCACGCACACACACACACGTTTAAAAATAATAAACTGAGAAGAGCTAAGGACCCAAAATAGTCACAGTCAGATAATCATAGATTTGTATTTATGCATTTCATATGTTCAGATTTTATGAGGCAGAGCAATATTTTGTTGTTAACAATGGGGTAATTAAAACAGTAACTAAAGAATAAAGCACGTAATTGGGTAAATCTAAAGTGTATACCAGCATTCTCATCTCTATTTATTTATCCACTTCCTTACCAGAACTGTTGCAGTGGGATGGATCAGCGGGTCTTCCATTTTTGTCAGAACAGGATATTGCTCGGAAACGCACACCTTCGCCACATTCTCTGCCGTCTCCTTGTATTCGCCATCCTCGCTGAGGCTCCCTTTTGCCTTCCGGAAGAATGCAGTCAGACCAGTTTCCATAAGGTTGGGGTATAAACACATCACAAGGACATAGTTCTGTTTCACTTAGAGGGTACATATCAGCATCCTGGCATTTCTCCTTCTTTCTGCTTTTCCCTGTTCAAATAAGACACATGGGCACATTAATATCTGTTCAGACTTTTAAACTTTAAGTTACAAAATAAATCAAGGGATGTCTTTTCTCCTTGTCCCATTCTCCATACCTATTGATATCTCTATCTTATACTCTATTTTTTAAAAAAATTATATTCTTTTGTATATAAAATTAGTATATATTGTGATATATATATATATATATATATATATATATATATATATATATATATTGCTTTATATGATCATTCCCCTACAATGTGTTTTACAAAATTAATCACCACTGATCCACGCCTATAATCACTATGCTCTTTGAAGTCCCTACAGGATCTTGTTAATAGTCTTTGGATAATGGAAATGGACAATGAAACCATAAAAGCTTGTACTCATTCTCATTGAAACTACTTGCTGGCAAACAAAACAAAGCAAAAACAAAAATATGTAGTCACTCTTTTTAAATTTTTTTAAAAAAACTCTTTTAAAATTACTTTTTTCGGAGCTTTTATATAAATTTATTCATTTAAGTTTAAAACACTGCTGTAGCTGAATATGAAAACCAAAACAATAGCGAAGCATATTATGATGACAGTTCTTCACTTATGTATGCACTTACTGCATATCAAGTGCTGTGTTACCAGTGCCCCCCATTAAGAGACCTGACACTGAGCCCCACCTCTGAGATGATGGTTATCATCTTCATATACGTCACCATTGTAATGGTGTCCTCTTTCCTGGGGTTTGTATCAAAGTCCACCAGTTCTACCTGATCCAGTTCATTGGTTTCTTCTACTTGCTTACTCTCTGATGGGTGTTTTACCAGCAGAAAGAGATGTTCAGGAAAGAAGAAGCCTTTCTACAGAAAGTTAACCTCAATTCGATGATCACACACCCGTTTTCATATGGTCTACAATAGGTTGTCCTGCCTCCATTTAACACATATTTGTTCTCCTCATGCATTACATACTGACATACATGAAAGGTGATGACTATGGTTCGGTTGTCTAGAGTAGATACTGGCTTGTGTGAAGGCACACAGAGCTTCATTTTTATTTTTAGAAAGTGTTACTAAATATGTTTTTTTGCTTTGTTTTGTTTAAAAATTAAACAAAAAAGTTTATTTAAGTGCATATAAACAAAGTGGTGATTCAGTAGTAGAATTTTGGTCTTCTAAGCAGGAGATCCCACAATTGGAGAAAGCCTCATCAATAGCTTGTATTATACAGATGACATAACCCTGCTTACAGAAACTGAAGAAAACTTGAAGTACTTCTTGAAGATCAAAGACTATACCCTTCAATTTGGGCTATATTTCAGCATAAAGAAAACAAAAATCCTCACAACTGGACCAATAGAGAAAATCGCAAGAGATGTAGAAAAGACTGGAGTTGTCAAACGTTGCATTTTACCTAGATTCATAATCAAGAGCTATGTAGTAGCAGTCAAGAAATCAAAAGACACATCTCACACCAAAACCAAAACTCAACTCAAAGTGGAACAGAGACCTAGGGGTAAAACTGAAACTCATAATTAAAAAAATAATAATAATAAGAGCCAAAACAGGAACAAATTTAGAAGCCCTACTCTAAGGTATAAATAGACTTTCAAATATACCTAAAGGTGTAGAAACAAGTGAGGATAATACTGACAAATGAGACTTTAACGTTAAATTCCTGTGAGCAACAAAACCTTTTCCCAAATGAAATCCCAAATAAAATCCACAGGCTGGGAAATAACATTATACAATGACAATTCAGAAGAGGATCTCATTATAGAATACAACAAGAGCACCACTTGTAAAAGACTGATAACCCAAATACAAAATAAGCAAAAGACATGAAAAGACTTCTCAAAAAGGAGGACAGTTGGATAGACACACATTAAGAAATGCTCAAAATCACTGACAATCCAAGAGATGCAAATTGAAACAACAATATCATCCTAACTCATTAGCCGTAACTAAGCTTAAAAATACCATTAAACAATAAATATTGAAGAGGATGCAGAGCCATTGAAACTATTGTACTGCTGATAAGACTGAAAAATGGGTCCATAACTATAAAAGGCAGTTTGGTGTTTTCTTAAAAAGTTGAACTTAGAAAACCCATATGACCCAGACATTCGACTATTAAGACCTCAAGGAAAACAGAGTTGAGTCACAAACAGATATAAAACTGCCTTCATAGCATTATTCACAATAGCAAAATAATGGAAATAACTTCAAATGCCCAACAACAAATGAATAGAGAGAAAAACTATGGTATATTTACAGAGTGGAATACAATGCAGAACTAAAGAACAACAAAGTGTTCATAAAGTATATCACAACATGGGAGAGGCTAAAAGAGCTTTATATTGAGTGAAAAAACTCAGTCACAAAAGGACAAATATAGCACAAGACTACTACTATGAAACCAGGAGGGTAACTTAGGGGTGCAGGGGGGAGAGAAAAGTAGAAATGGAATGGGTAGACAAAGACTATTATAAGGACAAGATCAAGGGAGGGTTTACCTGGGAAGAATGGCTATTGCAATTCGCAAAGAGGAACAAGGTAAAGATAGACATAAATATGGATATGTTGTTATTGTTGTTGTATAGCATCGAGTCAGAATTGACCCACAGCTGATCCTCTGATGTGTTTTCAGAGGCGGTTAATTGCACGGAGAAGATGGCCCATTCTTCTCCTGCTGAGAAGCTGGTGATTTCGAACTGCATGCCTTCGGGATTACAGCACAGCTTCTTACCTCCAGCCCACCAGAGCTCCCCTAGTTATAGGATGAGCACTCTTCTCTAAGGCGATTAACAGTCTTCGAAAACCCACCAGTTATGGTTGGTTCTGACTCATTGGTACACCACCACCACAAAGATAGAGATGTATGCCTGTTTAACAGAGAAAGAGAAGAGGTCTGGAAGAAGAAATGGAAATTACTAGGAAAGCAGAGATCAGTATAAGGATGAGGTGAAAAAATAGGCAAAGTGCAAGAAGGACTTGAGGAGAAGTGGAAACAAAAGTAATTGATGAACAGTTATTGATCATATTAAACCACCTACATACACATTTAATACAATTATTTGATTGTATAAAGCAAAATGCTGATGAATGCTGAAAAGCAAATGATGGCAGAAATAATAAATTTTTTAAAAATCGAAAGACATGGTGCATTGGAAAAAACATGTTGTCAAGGACTTCTCCAAAGTGTTCTCAAGGACTTCTCCAAAGAGCAAAGAGGCCAGGTTAAAGACTAATGTGCTCCTGATTCAAACCATCGTGTTTTCAATTGCTTCCTATGCATCTGTGTCTGAAAGTTGGACAATGAATAAGGAAGACCAAAGAAGAAGAGTGGATGCGTTTAAGTTATGGTGTTGGCAAGGACTGTTGACTACACCATGGATTTACCAAAAGAACAAAGAAATCTGTCTTGGCAGAAGAGCAACTGAAGTGCTCCGTAAAGGCAAAGAGGTGAAACTTTGTCTCACATACTTTGGACATGTTAGATTATTCCTTGGGAAAAGACATCATGCTGCGGCAGGTGGAGGGTCAGAAGAAGGGAGAAAAACCCTCAGAGATGAACTGACAAAGCTACTTTAACAATGGCCTTGCCCATAGCAGAGATCTTGAGGATAGTGCAGAATAGGACAAGGTTCTGATCTACTGTTCACAGAACCACTGAGTCATAGAGTCAGCTTCGTAGCACCTACAACATCAACACGCAAAAGCTTCATTATTTGGCCAATGTATCTCGTGTACCACCTCTACCTGACACTGGAAACGTGTGTGTTGCTGTGATTATGAACAGGGTTTAGTGGAACTTGTGGACCCAGGCACCCTAGAAATGAAAGGTTAGCAAGTTCCTTCTGAAAAATCAGCCCAAAACATTGCTGTGGGTGACCACAAACAATATTTATTTCAGAAATAAATTAGGATCATCCTATGTGATGGCTGTGGATTACCAGGATTCAGTTAACAAAGTTGAAACTCTGTTACCAGGAAGCTGCCAATTTCTGACACAAAGATAAATTGAAATAAATGCTTAACAAACGCTGGATAATTTAGTCTGTGAGAAAGCTATTGACTTCCATTTTTCCAAACCCTTTTAACTTAACTACTAGAATGACTGTATCTCATCAAATTAGTTTGATGGAACTTTTAGCTGAGATCTTAAAAATGACAGAATAATTTTTCACAGCTGTGAATATGCAATAATTATGTTTAGAGAATTCCACGTTAGCCTGCAACTTGGTTCAAATTGCCTGCCAATATACTGGCTCTAGTTTATAAAAATTTCTCCTAGATACAAAATATTCTACCTTTTATGTCTTCATTAGCTAATCATTAGCTTAAGTGTTGGCTAGTTATTTTAAAAAGCAAGCAATTTTATTGGTTTATTTCCAGCCTTTATAGATGCCTTGGAAATGCTCGATGCAAGCTGCTGCTTGGGCTACCTTGTCATCATCAGATGGTTTGTGTCACATAAAAGAGTTGATAATTATTGTTGCTGAATTATTCACTCTAGAATTTGCCATAATTCAGATGCATCAACAAATAATATTCTTATACAACCTGTAATAGCCTGAGAATACCTTTAGCATATCTTCAGCCACACCTCTGTTCACTTGCAAGGACATAGTTACTGCTCTCCACCATTAGGAACCTTTACTTGGAGTAAATTTGTGTAGCACATATCTGGTAGGGACCAGGTACTCTGTTAACATGTTCAAGTATCTGCTTCTTTCCAGCCTCAAATTCCCTAACCTACTGTGGAGTTCCCCTCAATCCATCACTTCAATTCCCACTCTTCTCAGACTATTTTAGCCTGCATTACGAGTCTACCACTTCCATGCCAATGAAAACTAGTTATAAAACAAAATTCCGTTTTCTATTTGTTCAGCACAGTCTTGATTTCAATGACATTCTCTAAATGCTGAGTTTCATAAAGTCATACTTTTTAATTCTCCCATACTCATTCATACCACACATCATCTCTTTAATCATAACATATTTAAGT